ACTTCAAGTTGTTTTAAGGAAAGTATTAAGACTTTATTAGCAAAGAAGTATAAAAACTTCTTGCAAACATCTTTTTTTGTGTATGGTCAGAAGATCAGCAAAAAGAGTTTTAATAAGTTATTATTTGATATTATTTATATAATAAGATATAATTAATTAAATTATAACAATATAAATGATATATTATATATTATATTATAGTTTGTATTATTCATATTTATAAATATAATCTCAATTCAAAAAAATTTGCACATAAGTTTATTAATTTTTTTACTTTATTACTGATAAATAGTTATTAAATTTTTAATGAATGGTTAATGAACTTTTAATAAATAATTTAATGAATAGTTGTTGAATTTTTAACAAATAGTTAACAAATTTTTAATAAATAGTTTTGATAAATAGTTTTTAAATTTTTATAAATAGTTGATAAATTTTTGACAAATTATTAATAAATTAATGTCCAATTTTTATTGAATTGCTAATAAATAATTTTGTGACAAACTTTTAATAAATTTTTGCTGAATAGTTAATGAATTATTTGACAAATTGTTAATGAATTTTTTAATAATTGTTAATATACCAATTTTTGTAATATTCATAGCTGAATTATATAGTTGGCAATTTATTTATATTATTTTTTTACTAAATTATTTATTTTTTTGCTAAATATTATATAAGTGACAGTATACTAAATAATTATTTTTTAACTAGTAACATGGCATCCCTATTTTTTAATTAAGTTTCTCAGGTAATGAGAAGACTTTTTTAAAAAAAAAGCTGAGGTCTCTAAGTTTCTATTCCAGTTAAGCAAGTTTTTACAGAGATTTTTTTATTCTGATCAGGTTAACTTTAATATAATATGACACTTGCACTAATCTTGCAATAAGTGAATTTATATATTAGTAAAAAAATAAGTTCTTCAAATATTCTTCTTAAAGTCTTAATACTTAGGAATACTAAGTTTCTCAGATAGTTTGAAGTTTAAAGAATATCTTAATCAAATAAATTTCTTTTGAGAGGAGGCTATTTACTTGAATAATAATCTTTTGAAGAGTTGTTAATTGTTTTTTTTTCTTTTTTTCTTTTCTCTAGTTTTTAATTCAACAATTTATTATTTTTCAGGATAATCTATAGTAATAAACTATAATCAACAATCTTGATAGATAGAGATTATAACTAATCTATCAGGAGAGTATAATATTGTCTCCAAAATTTGACTTAGAGTATTTAATTTAGACTTTATTTTATTTAGTCTAAACTAGTTTAGTGGACTTCTAATATTTTTTAAGTAGTATAATTCTTTAACTAATAATATATAAAGATGAGTTAGTTATAAAGTAAAAGTCTATATATGTTATAGATATTTTTTAATATCTCAATAAAGACATATTTTGATAGTATGATTACAGATTAAAAAAAAAAAATTAGAGTATATTTATAAAAATTTATAATAGTGGAGGGTAATAAATATTAAGTTATATTTTTAAAATGTTTATTCATCATATTTTCTCTTTTATAATTATTTATTTTCTTAATTTTTTATAAAATTTTGTTTATTTCAGTTTGTTCCTAAATTTTAAATAATATGATTTATTATAAAATATAATTAATAGATAGAAATCACATTAATAATAGAATATAAATAAGCTTTTACCAATCACTTTATATATTTTGTTAATATTATTAAGAAAAGAAAAAGTTAATTAATATTTCAATTTTTTATTTTTTTTCAATTAAATTTATTCAATTCTAAGATTATAATATCAATAAATAAAATCTTTTTAATTTTATTATCTTAACCAGTAAAACTACTGGGATCAATTTTTTTTTGGTTTGATAATAATTAAAATAATAAGTTTTTGAATAAAATAAGTTAAAAAATTTTAAGTAACTGTTATAAGGCTAAAAAATATAGTTTGAAAAATAATAATAAATTATTCAAACATAAGTCTTTCATTTTATCTATAAAAAAAAAAAAACATCTTAATCAAATTTATCTTATTAAAAAGAGATTCTAAAAGCTAGATTGTTTAAAAAAACTGGATTTTATTTTATTTTTTCTTTTTTTTTCTTATATATACATTTGTGTAATTTTTTTTCTTCTTTTTCTTTATATTTTCTTCCCTTTTAGAGTTTTCTATTAACTCGTGGCTTGATAAAATGAGTAATAGTAACAAATTGCTAACTGTAATAGAAGGAACTAGGAAGGTTTTTTATTTAAAATCTTTTTTAAAGCAAAATATTATTTCTAAGGCTTGACTTAAAGGCTTTTTATATCTACAAGTCAGTTAGATATGATATAAATGTTTAGCTGTAATATTTTTCATTTTGCTCTAATGAATATGTACTTTTGTCTTCTTATTGATTAATAAACTATTATTTAATCTGATTGTGGGTATTACAAAAACAAAAAATAAAATAATAATAATAATATGAATTTTAATAAAATTATATTTATTATTTTAAAGATAGAAATTACAAATCAAAATCAAGTTGAGCTTTGAATTATTGGATTATTAAATTAACTTAAAAAATTTTCTAAATATATTAATTTCTAATTACAATTGAAAAAAAATAATTTACCGTTATTTTTGAGTCAAATTTCAATTCTTGGAATATAAATATTATATATTGGAAATTTATATCCATTATTGATTAATTTTATATATCATGCACCTTATCTCTTAATGCAGAATTATAAATAATAGAACTTCAATTAATTAATTGTATTTATTTATTACTTTTGATATTTTAATGTCCTGTCTATTTAAAGTGAATTCGCTTAAAATCAAACGTAGGATGCGAGACATGGTAGGTATGGCCTATGTTTAAAGGAAGAGATGAGGTCTCAACCGAATAAACTAACATGACAATAAATGATACATACGAATTCCTGCTTTATTGTCAAAACTACTTTTGTACTACCCGTGTTTTTTCTTCAATCCTTCGTTGCCGAGCTTCCAGTGCACGTCGTTTATTAAAATAATTTACCTTTTTTTAAAATAAAATAAAAATATCGAGATTTATAAAAAAAAAAAAGATAAAACAAATATAGCAGAAACAACACCTAATTTCCATTATCAAATTAAAAAAAAAAAAACTCACCCAACTACCAATACAAGCCTTTTCATAATCTTTCTTCATTTTCAAGCATCCACCTTTTTTGGCAATTAATTGTATCGATTCATCGGTATCGATTTTTGTAGGATCATCAATCAAAGCATTATCAAGGCACGTAAAAAATTCGTCACGTATCTTCCAACAGATTTCTCGTTGCTTACGATCCGGCGCAACTAAAGATGATATTTTTGAAGGTGTAGCCATTTATGACTTGATTAAAAAAACTTGACTATTTATAAAAAAACCCTGATCGCCAACAGTCAGGTGATTTACTATATATATATATACTGTACATATCTATATCTATATATTTTTCGATCTGCAGTAGTTAGCAGTTGAGTTTTAGAAAAAATATAAAATATAGCTTTAGTAAAACATTTTAAAATATTAAGTATACAAACATTTAATATATATTTATTTAGAAATATTATTTATATGTATTTTGATTTTTAAATTTATAATCAAAAATATATATTTTAAATAAATAAAAATATATTTTTTTTTATTTATTAAAATTTTACTTTAAAAATAATTTTTAATTTAATTGTTATTATAAATTATATAATGATTAATAAAAAAATAAAAATATTTAACTTTTTTTTTTTTTTTTTTAATCCACAGTCAGGTCAATATGACTTGTCCATTTTATTGTAAACATATTTGATATTTACATATTTTATGACTTTCACATATTGACTCGACTCACCCATCTACAAAGTTTAATCTTTTCTAGGTGCAACTTAGGAGATGATACTTTGTTCCCTTTGTGGCTTGGATTATCCTTTAGCCACTTAGATCATTGCCTATAGCTCATTACTGTAGAAAAATAAAAAAAATTTAACAATAATAAAATTTTTAAATTATTTATAAAAATAAAAAAATATAAGTAATAGAATAAGTAGACCTGTAGATCAATAGCACAGTGGTAGTGCTCCCAGGTCACAATCACAAGGTCTATAGTTCAATACCACTTAATAATCAAAATCGAAAATTATCTTCTGATCAGGTTTGATTGGTTATTCTGTGAAAGTCATACCCAATCATTCGGAACAAGTTTGAAATCAAGTTAGACTACAGGAAGATGAGACTTCTGGCCTTCCGTCGATTAGGAATTGAGATTTACGGTTATACTACTGAAAGGATTGCATGAAGAAAGATTTCTGGTCTAGCTTACCATAGACATCCCAAGATCATCTACTCTGATAATCTTCAGGACCCCACTTTTCTAGCTCAGGTTATTCTAATCTGATGTTCCGCTTAATTGAAAATTAGTTAATAGAAACTGATCCGATGCCACAGGTGATGACAAAGAAGGTAACGTGCCTCCTTCTGAGGTCTGAGTGAATAATATCTAAGAATATTGAAGGGTATTACATATCCTGTCGGGTACACACAAAAAAGGACTAGCTTAGTGAAACAATAAAAATCTTATAAGCTTAATACTAACTAGCCTAGCATAACCATTGATGACTATGTATTAACCATCCAGTCTCTAGGTAGGTCTGCCTACTTAAAGAGTAGTAGTAGATCTATCTAGGACAAATCACGATAGGTTATCATTAATCTGCATGTATATAGAAATACAGTATATAAGTTTGTATGAGATGATTAATATAATGCTAAGGATTTTATTATCCAGACATTAAGTTAATTCTTAATAAATAGCATATATCTAATTCCAGTTGTAGTTTAAAAAAAAAAAAAAAAGGTAATAGAATAAATATTAATATATGATATATATTTTTTTAACTCATAAGACCTGTGGATCTATAGTATAGTGATAATGCTCCCAGATTACCAAGTACAGTTTTTGAGTTCAATACCACTGCGAGTCAGTATCAACTAAGCCTAGGTGATACAAAAAGATCCCATCCACTTCATAATGAAGATCTAATCACCTCTGGCCAAGATCCCGTCCGATTCTGGGGTATCCAAAGATCACAAGATACTTCAGTTAGTTTTAGTGCTGAAGTCACTTTGTTAAAAGACAGATTCTTATAAGCTCCTACAGATAGGTTGAAGATCTGCACGCCATAAAATCAAGGAAACTAGTGGAGCCTAGACATGTTAGTTAAAAGTGGGTCTTTACCAAAATTGACATCTATCCAAGACTTCATATGGTCATTCCATAGGCAGGCTGTAATAGATCATGTAAAAAGAATACTCTGGCAGGATGAGATAACATCTAAGACTCCATGTGAGTATTCTATAGGCATATCATAATAAGTACTGTAAAAAGAATATTCAGCAGGATGAGATATGAAAGGGGTCCTGTATCATAGACCCCGGACCTATAGATATGAGGGTCAGGGAAGAGTAACACAGACATAGGTAGTGGGATAGTAGGGCTTCTTCTGACAACAAGCCATGGAGGTATACAAGATATTACAATCAGGTTTATTAGATATAATAGTAGAATGGACTAAGGTGTATTGGTTAATACAAAAAGCTTGACTATAAAATTGCTCTGTAATTAGTGACTATATTCTATGTAAGGGCCATCCTATCGATTTCAATAAACTGGGCTTTGCTATTCTTTAAAAAAAAAAAAAAATTTTTTTAACTTATAATCATACCACAATGATGTGTCTTTATTGAGATATTAAAAGATATCAGACTTTCACAAAGCAACTAACTTGTCATTGTATATTATTAATTAAAGAACTACATTATTTAAAAAATCTAAGGAATTCATTAAACTAATTTAAACCAAACAAAACTAAGTCTAAACTAGGTACTCTAAGTTGAATTTAGGAGATAATATTATACTCTTTTAGTAGTTTGATATAGAGCCTCTAAGTCAATCCGGGTCATTGTCAATAGTTTATTATTGTTAATTATTCCAAAAAATGATAAAAAAGGGAAAAGGAAATATAATTCAAAGCCCTTCAAAAGATTCTTGCTTCATTTCATAGTTTTCTCTCGAAAGGGATTTGCCTGATTGAAATATTCTTTAATCTTTATAATATTTAATGAACTTAATTATTCCTAAAAGTAACTTTAAGAAGAATATTTGAGAAACTTATCCTTTTATTAATATATAGATTCGCTTAATACTATTGAAGCCAGCACTATATTATGGAAGAGTTTGTTTGATTAGGATAAAGAAATCTTTTTAAAAACTTTTGCCTGATCAGGATAGAAATTCAGAGATCTTAACTTTTGTCCAAGAAAGCTTTTTTATTATCTAAGAAACTTAGTGAGAGATAAGAATTGAATTCTTTTTTTCTATCTGTTACCCACCTTTTGATGTTATAATTGTTTTCTAAAGGTTGAATATATATAATTGAAGGGAACAATTTTTTTAGAACTTTCTTTCCTACATTATCAATAATATATCGAAACACATAAGTGTGCCCAATAGGAGCTTGTTTATATTTCAAAAACTGATATGTTTCATATTAGTCAATTATTTTTTATAAGAATTTATACTATTCAAAATTCAGGGTCAAACTGTGATAGATAAAATTTCCCAGAAAACCATAAAAATAGAAGCTATAGAAGAATCAAAATAGCTAAAAAGGGAGAAAATAATTTTTTTTATTGCAGAAAATGGTTATAATCTCTCACTTCAAAAATTAAAAAGATCTTTAGATATTTTACAGTCAGTTGTTTTTCCTTTGGAAACCTTTTGCTATTAATATCAAAGGCATTATTTGATTTTTCTTGATCACTAAAAGTTAAGTTTTTGAGTGAAAAGGTTTATAGACAATAAGGAAAGGGTAAAAGTGACTCTTGAAGTCATACTTCAAGTTGTTTTAAGAAAAGTGTTAAGACTTTATTAGTAAAGAAATATAAAAACCTCTTGTGATCATTTTTTATATGTGGTCAGAGGATTAGCAGAAAAATTATTAATATGAAATATAATTTTGATTATACTGTATAAAAATATTTAAAAATTAGCAAAGTTGAAATTTATAATAAAAATATAATAAGTAAACTCAATCTTTTGAAAACAAATATAAAATAAATAAAATTGGTATTCTATTTATTAATTCTTTAATTATTATTTATAAAAAAATAATTTTTTAATTTCATAATTTAAAAACAATAAAATAATATAATAATTAAAATTAATTTAAATTGAGTTTTTTTAATAAAAAAAATAATTTACTTATAAAATAATAAATTAATATTTAAAAAAACTTAAAAAAATTTTTTAATTTATTATATATTTTTAAAAATTATTAATAAAATAATATTTAATAAAAAGACCCATGAGTCAATAGCATAGTGGTAATATTTTCAGGTCACAATCACAAGATCTAAGTTTAATACCACTTAAGAACCAAAAATCAAAATTTCTCTTTTGATCAGGTTTATCAGTTATTCTATAAAAGTTATACCCAATCATTCAAAACCAGTTTAAATCAGATTAGGTTATATGAAAATAGAACTTTTGATCTTTTATCAATTAAGGATTGAAACTTAAAAATTGTACTATCAAAAGGATTGTATAAAGTAAGGTTTCTGATTTAGCTATTCATAAAATGTCTCAAGCCCATTCTGTTTTGACAGCCTTCAAGACCTCCATTTTCCTAACTCAAGATATTTCAATTTGATACTCTGCTTAATTGAAAATCAATTAATAGAAACTGGTCTAATATCACAGATTATAATAAAGAAGATAATGTACCTTCTTCTAAGATCTGAGTAAATAATATCTGGAAATATTGAAGAATGTTTACATCTCATTGTGTAAATACAAGAAAGGACTAGTTTAGTAAATTATAAAAAAGTTATTTGAGTCCTATACTAATTATTCTAGAATCACCATTTATAACTATGTATTAATCATCTAGTCACTAGCTAAATGTATCCACTTTTGAAATAATAATAGATTTAGCTAGGATTATTATGATAGGTTAGCATTAATATGCATATATAGATATGTTTAATATAATGACAATGAAATTAAATTGCTAAATAAAGTCTCATATCTAATATTAGTTATGGTTTAAATATATAGTAAAAAAAAAAATAATAAGTATATATTTTTTAAAACAAATAATATTTAATAAAAATAGTAGAGAATAGTATTAATATACTGTTCTCTACTTATACTAGACTGTTACCTACTTATGAGTATACTGCTACCTACTTATAGATATACTATTACCTACTTATGAGTATATTGCTACCTACTTATTTTATAACTACTCATTTTGACCTCTAATAAGCTAGATATTTACTTTCTTTTAATG